GCTGGGTCAGACCAGGGAGGGTCCCTCTAGTCCAGCCTCCCGTCTCACACAGGGGCCAGCCAGTCCCTCTGGAGGGCCAGCAACAGGGCAGAGAGGCCGAGGCCTTCCCCTGAGATGAGCATCAGAAGATCCCTGCTGGGTCAGACCAGGGAGGGTCCCTCTAGTCCAGCCTCCCGCCTCACACAGGGGCCAGCCAGTCCCTCTGGAGGGCCAGCAACAGGGCAGAGAGGCCAAGGCCTTCCCCTGAGAAGGACACCAGAAGAGCCCTGCTGGGTCAGACCAGGGAGGGTCCCTCTAGTCCAGCCTCCCGCCTCACACAGGGGCCAGCCAGTCCCTCTGGAGGGCCAGCAACAGGGCAGAGAGGCTGAAGCCTTCCCCTGAGAAGACCCTCAGAAGAGCCCTGCCGGATCAGACCAGGGAGGGTCCATCCAGTCCAGCCTCCCGTCTCACACAGGGGCCAAATGGCTTCTCTGGAGGGCCAACAACAGGCAAGAGAGGCCGAGGCCTTCCCCTCATGTTGCCTCCTGGCTCTGGGATTCAGAGGTTTAGTGTCCCTGAAGGTGGAGGTGTTCCCCTCAGTCACCATGGCCAGCAGCCATTGATAGATTTATCCTCTATGAATCTATCTGATTCCCTTTTAGAGCTGTTTATTCCTGTGGCCATCACTACATCCTCTGGCAGCAAATTCCACCTTTTTAATAACTCTCTGCATAAATAAGTATTTTCTTTTGTCCATCCCAAATCTTCTGCCCATCAGCTTCCTTGGATGCCTCCCAGTTCTCGTATTTGGGGAGAGGGAGAAAAATTTCCCCGTCTCGACTCTCTCTACCCCGTGCATAGTTTTATGAAACCCTCTCTCATGTTGCCCTTTAGTCTCCCGAATAAATACCCGTGCCCCAGACTGTAGGGTGTGTTGCGGATCAGAGAGTGATGGGGGGAAACCAGACTTTCAAGAGTGTGGGAACCGAGAAGGAGGCGGCAGAGGCATTCTTCACGTGCAGAGGTCAGTGGAAGCAGTCGGTGGGATGTCTCCACGGCAGTAAGGAAGATACGCAAACGCCCCTTGTTGTAAGGCAAAGAGCAGCCACCCTGCCTCTGTTGTGCCGGCCTGAGGGAGAGCCCCGGATGCTGGGGAACCAGGCCTCTGACACGGCCTGTCCTGACCTTTTGCTTGCAAAGGGGTAGCCGTGGCAGTCCACCGTAAGACAGAAGTCCAGTGGCCACCTAGAGGACTAACATCACATTTTGTTTTTTGTGTCCCCCCCCCCCCAATAGGTGCTTCCTTGGCCAGATAGATGTGGGGTGGGAAAAGGGACCGGGGGATGTTTGTGGGGCAGGGGAGGGGAGGAGTCAAGGGCTGGCAAGACACTGGCAGGACTCAGTCTCAAGAGGCAAGGCCCAGGGCCCCCGGGATGTGCTCTCTGGCCAGGGCACAGATGCTGTGGGATCATCGTCCAGGCGGGGTTTCCCCTGGGGCCTCTTCCAGATTCCAGAGCCAGCTGGGGCTCTTGCATTCCAGGGTCCTGCTCTTTGCTTGCCCTTCTGGGCCTGGAGAAGCAGGGCTGGGTCCCCTCGGGCTCCTGCCCGCCTCCTCTGCCTCCCAGCGGAGGAGCCACACGGAGAGCAAGCGGCAGGCCAGGCTCCCCCCCACACACACACGCGCGCGCGGGAAGCCCCAGGGCACCAGCCGGAGAGAGAAGCCAGGGCAGCATCGCTCAGTGGTCAGAGTGTGCCCGGGGGGGGGGGATCCCACCACACCTCGAGGGTCCTGGTGCTACCAGAGAGCCGCTTTGCTCCAGCCACACTTTCCACCCCTCCCCCTCAGTCTCCCCCTGCTTTCCTTTGGTGATGACCCCATGTGTTGGGAGAGGGTTTTTGTTTGTGTGGGAGGGCCCGGAGAACCCGCTCCGCCAGGCACGTGTCCCTCCGGGTGTGACTCTGCTGGTCCGCCCACGTCCCCTACCCGGCGTGACTCAGCAACTGGCTCCCAAAAGGGCAGATGGGTGGGTGTCTGGGAATGCTGCGTTGTGGCCTGCCAAGGCCAGGCACGTGCCACAAGGGCAGAGGGCACCCTCCCTCGGGGCTGCGGCCACTCACACGTGTCATCGTCCCGGGGGGGGTTGGTGGGGAGCCTGGCGTACGCCAGAACAGTCCCACACGCACCCCCACCCACCCACCCAAGGAGTGCCACCACGTTCTCTGGGTCTCGGAGGGGCCTTGGAGAGGGGGCGGCCCCTGTCCGCAGCTGCTGTGCTTGCCCGGCTGTGTAGCCTCCCCACATGAGGCCATCACCGCAGCCGGCACCAGTGGGAGGAGGACTCCAGCCGGAAGCCCAGAGCTCCTGCTGAGGGCTGTGGGCAAACCAGGCAATCCTCCTAAGAACACGAGAGAGAAGCCAAATGTTGGATCAGGCCAGTGGCCCATCCCAGTCCAACACTCTTCTGTGTCACACAGTGGGGGCCAGAAACGCCAGGGGCCCTCAGGAGGTCCAGCAGTGGGGCCAGGAGGACACTAGAAGCCCCTCCCACTGCTGTTGCCCCCCCTCCCCCAAGCACCAAGAAGACCGAGCATCCCTGGCCCCAGAGTCCCTATCTATCCCTTGTGGGGCTAAGAGCCACTGAGGGGCCTCTGCTCCAGACACTTATCCGATTCCCTCCTGAAGCCGTCCGTGCTCCCACCAGCCCCGCCCAGGCGGCGTTGCCGGCTCACTTGATGTGGGGAGGGGGGACCCCTTTCCAAATAAACACCCTGCATCCCGCATCCCAGCCCTCAAGGGGTATCCCAAGCGGGTCCAGGAAGAGAGCCGTGTGAGGCAACACCTGGCAGACCAAGAAGGTTTCCGGAGCCTGTGAGCGTTCGAGGGCCAAAGGCCTTGTCCTCAGTGGTCGAATCTGGAGCTGTGACTTGCTGGCGCTCCTGGAACAGAGCCGAGCGGTTTGAGCCATTCCAGGGCAGGCCGGCCAGCGCAGCAGCAACCCTCTGGAAGGAGCTCAGCTGCAGACCATCGGTTTGGCAACCAGAAGGGGCTGGGCTCCGTCTCTGGCCTTGGGGAACCGCTTTCTCGGGCGCTGCTAGTCAGAGGAGGCAACTACTGTGCCGAACGGGCCAGAGGCCGGAATCAGCTTCCAATCTGTTCACGCCCTTTGTGCGATGATGATGAGTGGGAGAGCCCCTGGCAAAGGGCAGCGCAACACAGTGTGGGAGGGGACAGCTGGAGAGCCCCCTCTCCCCTCACGGGTGCCATACCAGGCAGGGCTCCTGCTCGGGGTGTGTGTGTGTGTGTGTGTGTGTGGCCTCGAGCTTCATTTCAGTGGGCTCCAGCGGGAGAGGGCTGCCCTCCAGGGCCCGTGGGGACAACGCCCCCCCTCCGCCTCCAAGAGCCCCGTGCTGCGGCCCTCGACCCTGGGGGGCTGCCAAGTGGCCAGAAGACATCTCTGGCAGCGCCAGGCCAGGCCTTGGGATTTCTCTCCACCCCCCTCCATAAAATTCATGAAAACCCACAGGCAGGATTGCACAGAGGCCCACGTTTTTTTTTTAGAATCGTATATATTTTGTAAAATGAGTACACGCACGCACACACAGAGACACACACACAAAAAAGGAGTGGATTAGGGCGTCTGAAACGTGTTCCGGAAAGGAGTCAGAGAGATGCTTTGTCGGAGATGCTCTAGGCCGGTCCTGCCTTGGGGCCGGGGGTCGGAATAGATGGCCTGCGGGGCCCCTCCCCACTCTAGGATTCTACGAGTCAGTCAAAGGGGAGATGGGGTGGGGTGTGGGGTGGGGATGAGCTTTCTGCCCAATTCATGGTTGAGGACCTTCGAACTTCCCTGGAATCCCACCGTCCACCGACGGGGCCTGCTGGAGGGCGGCTCCATCCGCCTGCCCCTGTGGCCGCCACTGCTGCGGAGCCGAGAAGGAACACGCAGAGCTCCCACTCTGAGGCCAAGAAGGCAGGGCTGAGGGCGGGGAAGAGACCGAGGGCCACAGGCAGCCCTCAGAGGGGGCAGAGCGCCAGGCTCTCGGGGTGTGTGGGGTGCCCCCGCTTGCCCCCCCAGCCCCTTCACCCCTCACAGTCACTTTTCAAGCTTTCCTTCTTTCCTGGGGGCAGAACTGCCTTCCCGCCAAGGTGAGAGGGGTGTTTGGGAGGCGTGGGCTTTGGCGCCTCCGCCGAAGGACCCGCCGCCCACCACCGGATGGCCACACAGCAGCGCTCCTCTGGGGCTGCGGGCTCTGGGCAGGGCGGCCTGCGGGAGGCCAGGAAGCCCGAGGGAGGCAGCTGCTGTCCAGAAGTGGACCCCACCAGAAGCTCCCCAGGCACTGGCCTGGTCAGCTTCGCCCCTCTGGCGCCGTTTCGAGGGACGGTCTGAAGGGGCGTTGAGTCGACCTCTGAGTGGTGGAAACAGAGGCTGTGCTGCCCTCCCCCCCCCCAAGAAAACCATCACCCGTGGCCTCCTGCTGGTGCTTCAGCCGGCGCTGCTGGTGACGGGATTCAGCGAGTGAAAAAGGAGAAGGGGCACCACGGAGGGGGGGGGGACTGACTCACCTCCCCCGTCAGCTCTGAATGGGCAGAGTCCCATCCCCCCCCCCAGAAGGTGACTGGAGGCTTCCGCCAGTGTATCATCCCCCAAAGGATGGGTTACCTTGAGGAAAAGGCAACAGTCCCGGCCCTGGATCCCATCTTACTTTTCCTTACAAGGCACTGGAGCCCTGAACACTCGTTCAAACGTTTTTTAAAAAATGGCTACCATAGAGCGGAAGTCCTGAAAGGGTAAAAGTTCTGTCTACACCGTGTCTCTGATTGTCGATATGGCCGCCTATTTTCAAATTCCAAATGGGTGACGGGAAGTCAGGGAGGGGGGGAAAACGCGGAGGCTGGAAGAGAGGAAGCCACTAAGCCACTATTTCATTGGTCTTCTGGAGACCACAACTCGTCTTCCTCTTCTGGTCGGAACTTCAGGGGCTGACTGGACTCCGGGTGGAGAATTTCTTCTCCGAAATGGGACGGGACGGAATCGGCCTCCACCTCGGCATCCTTTCCTTTCAGGTGCGCGGCCTGCATCCGGTTAGCAAACAGGCTCTTGGCAACGTCCACCCCCTCCTGCCCTCTGTACTCCGGGGAATCCTTCTCGTGGGTTTCGGAACGGACGTCTCCAGTTCTGGGCGCCTCTTCACCCACTCGTGCCTGAGGTGGGTACTGGTCACCGGGGCCCTGCCTGCGGAAGTGCTGGCGGGCGGCCAGCCCCTCGATCCGTTCTCCCCCGTTGCCAGAGTGAAGGCCCCCGAGGCCATTCAGTACCTCAGCGGTGAAGTCCGCCAGGCTAGGATCCTGCTGCAGCCCGTTACCGTTGTCTCCAGCCCACAGGTGACTAGATCCCGCTGGGTCTTTGGCATCTGGGGAGGGGGCCCTGGGGGTCTCTGCAGGCACCTGGGATCTGCCTACGTCAGGCAATGCCAGGGGGGAGCTGCCGTTCCTCTCTGCCACCGGGGAGCAGAGAACATCTCCCTGGGCTGCCCGCTTCTCTGCCCCAACGGTCCGCTCAGCGGCCCAGATGGCCTCTTGGCTAAACTCCAGGGCCTGCTCCACGATTTCCAGGATATCGGAGTCTCTCAAGCTGTCTACGGGAAGACTCGCTTCTTCCTTCAGGGAAGGGTCTGCAGAATCTGTACCACTTGAACTCAGTTCAGGCAAGTCTGTTGGTCGGGTGGGCTCTTCTCCGCTACAGTTTTCTAGACCAGAGACTGGTTGGGAGTCATGGACACACGGCCCCCTTTCCTCTCCACAGTACACAAAACCTTCCGCTTCTGCACCGTCTTCCTGCCCATCTGCAGACTGCTCTTCCTCCAGCACAATCTCTCCCAGGTCGGCAACACTGGTCAGCGGAGAAACCTTGTGGGAGCCTTCAGGCACTGTGTGGCTGGGCTCGCTAAATCCCAAAGGGCTGTCATTTCCCCCCTGGAAGCGTTCCTGAACGTAGCTGGGATCCGGCTGAAATATGTTGTCTCTTTCTGTCTCCCAGACAAAATCTGGACTGCCAGATTCCTCACGGGCCACTTCTCCACAGGCAAGTTCTTTTCTCGCACCACTCCCACGGCCCACAATTCCCCCAGGCTGTTCGTCAACTTCTGCATCCAATGGGGGGAAACGGTCTTCTGGACCAGGCATTTCAACTCCCTCGGCAGGCAGGCCTTCTTCGTCACCTCTGATGAGTTCCCAACTCTCAGTCTCCGCTTCTTCTAAATCTCTTGAAGCAAGAAGGTCCTCGGAACTGGGGGACTTCTGCTTGGGAGCAGATTCCATGTGCCCACCTCCCTCCTCATCTACACCCTCCCACACTTTGGCGTCGCCATCTCCTTCCTGGGAACTGTCTGGACACAGGGCTGCTTCCTCCGCTGCTTGTCCCATCGCCTCCGCAGAAGTGACACTGTCTTTGGTCAGGAGGGGTGCCTCTGCTGCGTCTTCGTCCTCCGGAAGCGGCTGTCCCTTCCCGGTCACAGCCAACATCTTTTCATCATACAGATGCAAGGGCGTGCTATCTGGCAAAGTCTCCTCCAGTTCGATCTCTCTTCTGCTTTCCAGCTCCGCTTCAATCCCTTCTGTTCCATGGGTGGTGTCTGGGGAAACATCTAAGGATTCAAGGGAAACCCCAGACCCTGAATGACCACTTTGCAAGGGATGGTCCCTTCCAGAAGACACATCCGTCTCCTGGGGGCCACGGTCGGACTTTGCTTCGAGCCCACTGGCAGTGTGGTCCAGCGCTTCTGAAGGAGCCTCCAGTGCTCCAGGGCCAGCTTCGTGGGGCAGGCTTTGGTCGCAGTGCAGTGAATGTTGGTTTGGGCAGGTTTCTTCTCTCTCAGGAGTAGCATGCTGTTCTTCTGCCTGCCGAGTATCAGTCTTGGATACCAGGTTGGCTTCTGGATTCTCTTCCTCCTGCAGATCTCTCCTAGTGCCACAGCCCATCGTTTCTGCGTTCCCTACAAGGCTCGTCTTTGACTCTGCCTCCTCAGTCTCCGTTGCTTCTGACTCTGCTATCAAATCTCCTCCATTCAGCACATCCCTCTCAGCGGAAGCCATGGCGATCCCTTCTTCCTCCGCCTGCTCCTCCATGGGCAGGTCTCCCGGACACGCCTCTCCTGTTTCCTCGCCTTGTTCTCTTTGGGCGGTGATATCTTTGTCTTCCATCTGCTGCTCCACGGGCAGGTCTCTTCCTTCACACGCCTCTCCTGTTTCCTCCCCTTGTTCTCTTTGGGCGGTGATCTCTTTGTCTTCCATCTGCTGCTCCACGGGCAGGTCTCCTCCTTCACACACCTCTACTGTCTCCTCCCCTTGGGTGGCGATCTCTTCGTCTTCCATCTGTTGCTCCACGGGCAGGTCTCTTCCTTCACACGCCTCTCCTGTTTCCTCCCCTTGGGTGGCGATCTCTTTGTCTTCCACCTGATGGTCCACGGGCAGGTCTCCTCCTTCACACACCTCTACTGTTTCCTCCCCTTGGGTGGCGATCTCTTTGTCTTCCACCTGATGGTCCATGGGCAGGTCTCCTCTTTCACACGCCTCTACTGTTTCCGCCCCTTGGATGGCGATCTCTTTGTCTTCCATCTGCTGGTCCATGGGCAGGTCTCCTCCTTCACACGCCTCTACTGTTTCCTCCCCTTGGGTGGCGATCTCTTTGTCTTCCATCTGCTGGTCAACGGGCAGGTCTCCTCCTTGTAACGCGTATACTGTTTCCTCTCCTTGATCTCCTTGGGTGATGATCTCTTCTTCTTCCACCTGCTGTGCCATGGGCAGGTCTCCTTGACACACCTCTACTGTTTCCTCCCCTTGGGCGGTGATCTCTTTGTCTTCCATCTGCTGTTCAACGGGCAGGTCTCCTCCTTGTAACGCGTCTACTGTTTCCTCTCCTTGATCTCCTTGGGTGATGATCTCTTCTTCTTCCACCTGCTGTGCCATGGGCAGGTCTCCTTGACACACCTCTACTGTTTCCTCCCCTTGGGCGGTGATCTCTTTGTCTTCCATCTGCTGGTCAACGGGCAGGTCTCCTCCTTGTAACGCGTCTACTGTTTCCTCTCCTTGATCTCCTTGGGTGATGATCTCTTCTTCTTCCACCTGCTGTGCCATGGGCAGGTCTCCTTGACCCGCCTCTACTGTTTCCTCTCCTTGATCTCTTGTGGACATCTCCTGCCTCAGAACACTCTCCACGTTCTCCTGCTGCAAGACAGTTTGGTGCTCCCAGGTCCAATCTTGCAAGGTGGCAGTTTCTTTCTTCTGCATTATGTCTTCCTTGCACAAAGCATCCTCTTCTTCAAGGAGACCTTCTCGTCCCCAAATATCCTGCTGTGGCTCCTCAGCCCCTGCCTCCTCTTCCTTGGCCTTGGGCTCAGCGGTCCAGGTATTTGTTGAGTGGTCATCCCTCAAGGCAGCCTCTTCTTCAACCCTTGGGGTCTCAGGTTCTGAGTCCACCTCTTTTCCCTCTTCCTTTGGCAAGGCATAATCTGTTTTGGAAAGCGACGTTTCTTCCTCAGGGGCTTCCTGTTCTGTCCCAAGAAAGTGATGGTCTTGGTGACTTTCTGCAGAATAAAACGAGTGGCTTATGGGTGGTGACAAAGTTTCAACTACAAATTCTTCTGCCTGAAGAAACTCCCTTTCCAGCATCTCTGCCTGGAAGTCGCACTCTTCGCTCTCCCTGGAGGGGCTCGAAAGGGCTCTCCGTTCCTCGTCCTCGGAGAGATGCAGCGCTTCGGTGCTCACCACGTCAAGGTCTTCTGCCCCTCCGTCGGTCTCCTCCACGTCTGGCCCTGTGGCACCGGTGTGGTCCTCGGCACCGCTCGTGCCAGGCTGCGGGCTGTCCCAGTCGTCCCTCAGAACGGCAGCTGCACCCGTGTCCAGTTGACCAGCTGATCTGGTGCCCTGGACACCCTCAGGCGACTCACCTCTCTGCACGATGCCCTGGAGAGGAGGGGGCCGCTCACCGCCACCAACCTCGGTCTGCTCTGGTGAGCTCATTTCATTGTAGCCGTCAATCCTGCCAGCGACTGGGATGTCAAACACGACCTCCTCTTTGTCCCGCTGGGTGGAAGGACTTCTCTCTTCCTCTGGCAGTCGTGTTTCTTGTCGGGAGGATGGTTCTGCATCCCGAGGCACCCACACAGCTGCTGCTTCTTCCTGCTGCTGAGAACATACTTCTGGGCCACCACCATTAATCTCTCTGGAGTCCTCACAGCCCGGGACGCCCTCCAGAAGACCTTCCATGTGGCTTTTGTGCAGCCCTGGCATGGCCTCCTCGAATGCAGCGGTGCCTGGAGAAGCAGCTGCCCCATTTCCTTCTTCCACGGACGAAGAGTCATCCGAAGGGATGCCATTTGGCGTTTCAGCTGCGCCCAGCCAGCCGGCTTCAAAGCGGACCTCTCCCGCGTGAGCCTCCTGTAGCGCGGCACCTGAGGCTTCCGTGCCCAGCTGGGGGGAGGGATGAGGCACACGGTGCAGGGTGGTCTTCCAAGGGGGCTCCTCGTTGGCCGGCTTCTCTTCCTCCTCCACTTCCTCGCGAAGCTCCGCTTTCTCCCCCAGTTCCCTTGTTTTTGTTTGGGCTGAATTCTCCTCTCCGTCTTCTTCCGGAGGGTGACTTTGCTCTGGGTTTGAGCTGGACTCTCCCAAGACATTTGGAACTAGAGCTGGAAAGCAGGGCGGTTCAGGGGCGGAGGACTGGGAAACTGTTCCAGCTTTGCCGGCCGTCATCATCTCGCTTTGTTGGGAGGAGGAGCCCAACTGAAGAGCAGCAGAGTCTATGAAAGCCGGGCCGCTCGCCCCCTCCAGAGCCTTTGCGGACTGGGACTGCAGGGCGGCGCTGGCTTTCTGGAACTCTCGCAGGACAGGGCTTCTGCTCTTGGGGAGCACAGAGACGGTGTGGACCGTGAGGGGGCCACTCTGGTTCTTGGGCAGCTGAGGCGCCACGCCTCCCTTCAAGAAGGCTGCGGAGGTCGGCCTGGGGTCTCGGTGCCCCCGGTTCCCTCTTTCCAGAGACACTGTTTGGCGCTTCCTCGCACTCGCTTCCAGTTTGCCATCTGCAGGAGGCACAAAGAAGGAAAGCAGGAATATTACATCAGGAATTTGCATTCAACACACACTTGATCGACGTCACGGAGGGGCAAGGCGCACAACTTTACCGGGTGGGGGCGCGAGGCGTTTTTAGCAAAAAGAGGCCCCCTTCGGCTTCCCCCTTCTAGGCAGGCCGTCTCCGTGACCCGGCATCTACATCTTGCTGCGGCTGGCAGGCAGCTGCCTGGGCAGGGAGGGTGGGAGAGGGGGCAGGCAGGGTGGGGGTCCCAACCAGGGCCGTGGGTGACCTTTTTCTTCAGAGTCCCATCCTGAAAGTCAGGAACCAGCCTCCCCCCCCCCACTTCTTTGGACTGGAGCCACAGAAAAGACAAATAAAACCCCCAGAAGTCTGGCAGGCCCTGAAAGAACCACAACCTCCGTTTCCAGCCTCTGGGGAAGTGAGCGCTGACTCACGAGGGCTCCTGCCGGAACCAACCCACGCTGCTGCTCGCTCCGCAGGTGCCGCCGGACTCCCGCTTCCTCCTGCTGCTGCAGGCCCCCCAAGGCCGCCCCCCCGGCCATGGCTGGCTCTGGAGCAGGGCCCTCCCCTCCCTCCGGCCCTCCCGGTCCCTGGGCTCACCTGGGAGGCTGAGGGCCAGTCTGGGGTCTGCCGGCCTCTGCAGCAGCCGGGTGCTCTCCGCTTCCAAGAGGGTCCTGAAAGAAAGGCAGAATGGAGGGGGGGGGGGTTATGTGAACACACGAAGCCGCCTCTTAACTGAATCAGACACCCCTCCACCCTCCCTCGGGGCCCATCCAGGTCAGTATCGTCTCCTCCGACTGGCCTAGGGTGGCCAGCTCTGGGTTGGGAAATACCTGGAGACTTTGGGGGGGTGTCCAGGAGGGGCGGGGTTTGGGGAGGGGCCTCGACGTGGCACTGTGCAACAGAGAGCCCACCCTCCAAAGCAGCCTTTTTCTCTTCCAGGGGAGCTGATCTCTGTCAGCTGGAGATCAGTGGTAAAAGCGGGAGTTCTCCAGGCCTCACCTGGAGGCTGGCAACCCTAGCCTGGCCGAGGCTCTCCAGGGCGCCTCGGGCGGAGGGAGGGTGGCGGCACTCGGGAGGGGCTGTGCCAGACTGCAGCTGGGGCAGCGGGGGGTGGGGTGGCCCCCCCCAGAGAGAGCCGCGCAGAGGGCGCCTCGCCTGGCTTGCTGGGGGTGTGCAGAGCCCCCCCCCCACTGGAGCGGGCAAGCGAAGGAGACCGGCCTCCGGGGGCCTCGGGCGAGGGCACACCGACGCTGCCCACCGCGGGCTCCGGACTGGCCTCGGTCGCTCTCTGCCCCTCCTGCTGCAGCGGAGAGACCAGGCCTCACCTGGAGGCTGGCAACCCTAGCCTGGCCGAGGCTCTCCAGGGCGCCTCGGGCGGAGGGAGGGTGGCGGCACTCGGGAGGGGCTGTGCCAGACTGCAGCTGGGGCAGCGGGGGGTGGGGTGGCCCCCCCCAGAGAGAGCCGCGCAGAGGGCGCCTCGCCTGGCTTGCTGGGGGTGTGCAGAGCCCCCCCCCACTGGAGCGGGCAAGCGAAGGAGACCGGCCTCCGGGGGCCTCGGGCGAGGGCACACCGACGCTGCCCACCGCGGGCTCCGGACTGGCCTCGGTCGCTCTCTGCCCCTCCTGCTGCAGCGGAGAGACCAGAGAGCCAGTCTGGTGCGGTGGTGAAGTGCAGGCGGACTCTGATCTGGGAGAGAACCGGGTCTGATTCCCCACTCCTCCTCCACTTGCACCTGCTGGATGACCTTGGGCTGACAAGAGCTGTCCTTAAAAAAAGAGCAGTTTCTCTCAAGAGCTCTCTCAGCCCCGCCCACCTCACAGGGGGTGTCTGTTGTGGGAAGGGGAAGGGAAAGGAGTTTGTAAGCCACTCTGAGACTCCCTTGGGTAGTGAAGGGCCATGGGGGATAAAGCCAATCTCTTCTCCCCCCCCCCAGAAGGAGGGGGAGGACTCTTGCTGCCTGCCGGGCACTTCCCGCAGCAGGGGTGGGGTGGGAGAGATGCGGAGTTCCCCCTCACCCTTGGGGGGCTGCCGCACGCCCCTCCAGCCCAGGAAGGGCCCCCTCCCCCCGGGTCCTCAGCCGTCGGGGGTGGGGGGGGGACACGACACACACACACCCCCTCTGCCAGCCACTCTGGAGGGAGTGAAGCCCTCCCCCCTCCAGGGCAGGGCAGGGCAGGGAAGGGGCCCCTCATTCACATGCTAATCTCGGGGGAGGGGGAGGAGGAGACCACCTGCTGCATCTCTCTCTCTTTCTCTCCCCCCCCCACTTTTGTCCGGAGCCATCTGGGGAGGGGGGTGGCTCCCGTGGGAAGCTATTCTGG